TTCTGCCTGCAGAATGTTACCATTATCAAATGTGCAGCGGAATCCAGTTGATTTTGCTCTGTTCCCTCAGAAAGCAGGGAGGTTCAAGCAGAATCCCATCCTTGCTGGCTGAAGGAATTAAGAAGTGAGTGCACACCAGGCATTTGAGAGGTGGAGAACTGAATCCTCTGCTTTTGTAAAAATACTTTAAAAAACCACATTTTAAATAACTGGTATTCAGAGTGCAGAGGTATTTTAAAGCAGGAACTATGCTAATCATGCAGAATTTGCTGTAGCATCTAGGACTAAATGACTGAGAAATGCAGATTTAGTGTAAGAAAATTTCTTTTCCACAAGAGACCACTGAGAACTGTATAAATGGCAATATCAAGGAGAACTAAAGGCTCTTGCATTTACCTGATCATTTTATTGGATTCTTTTATAGCCTAATATTCTTACCATCTTTCTGACACCTGGCTTTGTAATTGCAAAAATGGGAGAGAAAGAAATCAAATTGGAAAAGAAATACAAAGATGGGTCAATGCATTACGTGACAGTCACAAAAACAAACAACATGTGAGTTAAGTTCTTTACCTAATTCTTTTATGTTGTGGTTAAAGAAAGAAGATTAAAATTTTGTGTGAATTGTTCTTTTTGTACACAGCTAAAAGGGGCCTCTGCTAGCAAAGGATGCTGAAATAATGAAGCAAAAGGAGATTTTTGATCTATGAATGTGCATGCTGATAGCTATGATGTTTCAGCTGTACACTGCTATGCATGTGTTTTATAGATGGTGTGAGTTTTGAATGCTTGTCAAGCTGGAGCCTTGGAGCTCTTCCCATTCCCATAGGCTTTACATACGTCACTGTAACGTAAGTGGTTAGAGGCCCAGGGAAGAAGCTAATATTGTGTCTGTTTTTTCAATAATTATCTTTAATGCAGATACATATAAGGAAAGACAATTTACTGAAAAGCTCCTAAATAATAGTGATTTCTGTAGAACACATAAAAGGACATAACTGTTAGCTGAAGTGGAAAATGGCTATAACTTCAGGTAATTATAGCTTAATATTATCAGTACTAGATGCTAATAACATGTAAAGTGCACCATTTTGACAGAAAGGATGAAATCCTGTCCCACAGCTGTCAAGGAGAGCTTTTTCATGAATTTTAATGGGACCAGGATTTCACTGTAGGACTAAAGTACTAGTTTCAACTCTTGCTCAGTGTCTACTACCAAAAAGCAGAGCAAATTCATAGCAGTCAATGAGCATGTACTGAAAAAGTCACAGAAAGAAGCTAATGAAGCTCTAGCATAATTATAATTTAACAAGCAAATACATTTGTCAAATGGTTCTTTTTTAATACATATATTTCATTTAGGTTCATAACTATCTCTTTAGAATTCATGCTTATTTTTATTCACTTGGTTTCAGAGTACATCTATTGGTTGATGATAAGTCGGAATTGGCATCAGTTGACTCTCCCAGAGCACGGGCATTAATTGAACCTATAAAGTTTGGTGGAGATGATTTTGAAGGTTGCATCTCAAACATCTTTATAAAAAGGTATTTGACATAGAAAGAATTTTGTTTGGAGTCATAGAATCATAGAGTCAACTACGTTGTAAAATACCTTTAAGATCATCAAGTCCAACCATTATCCCAGGACTGCCAAGACCACCACTAAGCCATATCACTGAGGGGCTCCTCTATGCAGTTTTTGAACACTTCCAGGGACAGTGGTTCCACCACTTTCCTGGGCAGCCTGTTCTAATGTTCAAATGTTTCTTACATTTTGGCCTGCTTTCCTTCTTTAATCATATTACAATAACTTTTTGTTAAAGTAACTTTTTTTCTAAATACATGAAGCCTTCATGGATGTGTAACTTTACTGCCCCCAAATATTCTTTCAGTCAGGTATATAATACATGGTATCAAGTTGTAATTAGTTCTGCTGTTCAGATGTAATGGAATCTTAGTCTGAATCATACTTGTTTAGTAGTGCTTTAATAAAAGACTGACCTCAAATTAGTGAATTGCAAGTGTCCCAACAAGGCACATAAAAAGGTCTGCTAGACTGCATCATTTTAGCTACACTGGAAGCCAAGTAATGAAATGAGCAAAGCTTACTGATGGAACCAGAAGAGTTACACAAAAAGATGAGAGCTTGTGTATAGAAATCATGTGTGTGATTTATGTTGTCTCTTTTTCACATTTCTCTGATTATTAGAGCATCTTACAGGAAAAATTTAGGATGAAAAATATGCATAAATATGTTCTTTAAAGAAAAGAATTCCTTGAGTCACAAGTGGTGTCCCAGTGGGACTTTTTATTTTAGCTAAGTTTTGATGAATATTTATACACGTATAGACTTTACAAAACGACATTGTATTTTGATTTTATTATTATAGAACCACAGAATGGTTTGTTGGAAGGGACCTTTAATGATCATCTAGTCCAGCCTCCCTGCCATGGGCAGAGACACCTTCTACTAGACCAGGTTGCTTAAATTATATCTTCCTTTAGAGCACTGCAAGGCAATGAAGTAACCTGTGTATTAACCTACCCATCAGAAAACAAATTTGGAAAACTGCTTGCAGTACAAAAATAGATTAAGAGTTAATATTGTAGCTAGTCTGATCAAGTGAATGGTGAACTGGATGAGAATCAAAGAAGTTCAGACTCTGCTCCCAGTTCTACCACTCTTCTAACAAAAACCCAGGGGCAAGGAACTTTGTTGCTCTTCCTAGTTGTAAGGTGTTTTGTAGTTTACTGATTAGAGAAACTCTGTCCAACTTACAAAATGATAGTAGATAGTGTTACTATTTTTTTACACACAGGAACTTGGTTTTGACAGCCTTTCTGATAATTTGGCTATAATATTAAAGCTATATATTAAACTGGGATGGGCTCTGCCCCTTGACAAATCTCATTAGAATGTCTTAAGGAGAGAGTGAATCATTGAGTTAGCAGGATCTGTTGTTGCCATTTTCTCTTGATCTGCCGCTGGTTATGCATAATTAACCAGCAAAGTTTTGTAGTCTGATCCAGATACCTTATTCAAACAAGGCTGCTGCCATTTTCCCCTCTTTTTTTCAATGGCAATGTTTGTTATAAACATATAGTTTTTAGCAAAAATCAATTTGTTTAGAAGAGATCAAAGCCAAACATCAGTTTTTCCATAGACAAAAAGAAACAGGCAAACCCAGGAAAATAGGAATACTTTTTACAGCATTGAACTTACATTTTTCATTGGAAAATGAAAACTGGTACTCTAACATCAGACCACTGGGAAATTTATTTTGTACAGAGCACAGTTTTACAATATGTCGTTAATTACACTAAAGCAAAGGAATGATGTGTCATGGCACTTACTGCTTTCATCACTCTAGGGCAGGTCAGCTCCCTGAGGTTCAGAATCTCGTTAATTATACTGCAAAGACTGGTGTGTCCCTTGGAGCTTGCCGCAAATATGAGAACCTTGAACCAATGCTGCTGAAGGAATTTAAAAATCCTCTTAAGTTTAAGATGCTCAAGGTATGCTTATTTTTACTGTAATCTTTGCTCTATATTGAAGCCAAGGCTTTGTCTGCACAGCCATGTTTTGCAGAGCTGAGATTCAGTTGTTATTTACTTTCATCTCACATCTGAAGCAAGTTGTTTGTTGTGGAAGTTCCATGCTAAACCCATCCCTGTTCAGAATGACAACAACTTCTCTGCCATTTAGAGCAGGCTGTTGATTGCCTCAGGTGGAAACTTTTAAATGTGTAGCTTGAAATGATGGGTTTTCTTCATGTGTATGCATAGTAAAGGTTTCAATTCTGTCCTAACAGGTACAGAATGAGAAATACCTTGGGTATTTGAAAGCTGCTAATGTGCAAACCCACACTTTACCAAATCAGTTAAATGTCAGCAGTGAAGCATATCTCTTTGGAAACATCCCCAACAGTTTTATATCCTACATGTTTTCTCCACTGTCATCTACAGACAGGTAATACAAATGTTCTCTGTTCTCCCCTTAATACTTGAATTGTCAAAGCTGCTTGAATATTTGGGTGCTAGGAGTTAGCATTTTCTTCTTGAGTATGTCTTGGGGCATAACAAAAGAATGGTTCAGGCATTTTTTTTTTAGTATGTTAACATTTACCCAGACGAGGTAGATTGACTTGGATGTGGAAGACAATTACAGTGCATATTGATGCCAACTCCTAAGCCTGAATATGTCAACTTTCATTTGCATTCAGAAATGCAGGCAATGCAGAACACCATGATCCCACTCAAAAGCTTTTTTGTGTTTCACAAATGGAGTTTCACTGGCATTTTTCTGGAGCACAGAAAGAATACCACTATGAAAACAAACCTCTGCTTACTTTCCACTACAGGTTACATTTTTCTGTAGATGTACGGACTCGATCATCAAGAGGATTAATAGTTTTCATAGAGGAAAGGTCTGAGGACTCTTATATGGCTCTCCACATTTCAAAAGGACGTTTTGTCTTTTCACTTGGCTTTGGAGGAACACAAATCAAACTCAAAACCAGTATTAAATACAATGATGGGCAATGGCACACTGTAAGTATGGCACAGGAACCATGATGAAACCACAACTATTCAGCAGGCACAGCCTATTGAATTTTTAAGGTATCAGAAATTGGATTCTAGTCATCTGAAGGAAAGTCCTATGCCTGAAAGTTCATGTGGTTGTCAGGTCTCTGTTATGAGAGAGCTTATAGAGACTGATGGTCCCGGCATGTTATTTTCAGTTTAAGTATTTCAACAATAGGGTGTTTAAGTTAAAGAAAAAAAAAATCTTCAGTGGCTTTCATTTGCCTTAGGATTTCTCACTGTGCTATGCTTGTACCCTGCAAAGGTTGCCTTCAGCACAGATGCAGAGAACATCCGCCTTGTTGTTGATGGTCTAAGGGCCCAGCACAGAAGATTAGCAGCAAATTCTGCCATCAGCATTAAGCCACCAATCTACATGGGAGGACTGCCATCACTAAAAACACAGGTAATTGACACATCCACCTCCACACACACTCCATTCTGCACTAATTACATGTGAAAATGTTAATGTGCAGGATTTCCATGTTGTAAAAGTTTGTGAGATATTTGCAAGCATTCAGTGAGCACCATCTGTGACTGGTGTTTCCAGCCGCTCACTACAGATCATCTTCCTCGCCTGTCTACCCAGCTCTCAGCTGGATCCATGTTGTCAGTGGTTATTGCTGAGACACTGATAACAGCCATGTACTGTTTACATTTCTTTAAAAAATAGAAAAGATCAAAGACACATTCGTAATTCCAGGAATACCCTCTTCCAGCAGAATATTCACCTCAGTGGACTAGGCAATAACCTGTGGAAGAGTAATCATTAAGAAGCATTAAAGAATTAAAGGAAGCATTAAAGAATTGTGAATGGAGAACTGGATTTTAATCTGAAATATCACTTTAAAAACTGGACAATTAATGATGCAGGGCATTTTATAAAATCAGATTTAAATAAACAGCCTATTAGAAAGGGAAGGGTGTCTCTAAGATTTCACAGCTCTTGTTGCTTTGTCTTTTTGACATATCATTGGGAAGCATCATTTCCGCAAACAGAAGTTATGTTAACTGAAAAACAACTGTTGCTTTCATTTTTAAGCTCTTTTTAAAAAATTTTGGATACTTTTTCATTGCATCAGAGGTGAGGTTTAGATGCCTTTAGTGCCAGTCGGCTTTATACAGTCCAACAGTACAAAAGAACTTAGGGGTATTCTTACTACAAAATTGCCATCATGCTTTAGTATTTATTTTAGTTTGGAAATATGTTTTCAGAATATACCAATGAACAGTTTCAAGGGTTGCTTGAAGAATTTTAAGATGAATGGAGAAGTCATGAATGCACCTCAGCAAAAAAATGGTGTACTTCCATGTCTGGATGTTCCCATGGACACAGGGATTAATTTCTCTAATGAAGGAGGATATATCACCACTGGTAAGATGTGTAGATTATGTCTTACGTGTGTATGTGTAAGGATTTCATAGAATCATAGAGTCATAGAATCATTAGGGTTGGAAAGGACCTTAAGATCATCTAGTTCCAATTAACTTCTCCTAATATCATTCCTCTACCCACTGTTTAATTATCCACAGGTAATTTGTTGATGGGCTTGGATTTTAGGATTGTATTTACCATTCGACCAAGGAGATCAACAGGTATACTTTTCCACGCTGGAAGCAAGCAAGACAACTACTTGACTATTTACATGGAAGAAGGAAAGGTAAATATAAGCTGTATTTCCATTTCAGCTGCAGAGTCCTTATTTAGCAGAGGAAATTCTGACCTTGAACTCTAGCCTTATGTATTACAACATTTGTCTATAGGTATAATGTTAAATAACTTCCTTAGTTATTTAAAACTATCACATGGGAAATTGAGCCTGTCTCTGTGCCTCTGTTAGCAGATTCCATTGTGTGCACATCAGTTTGCACATGCTTTCTTCAAGTGGTCAGCAGTAGGACACAGTCTTAATTTTCTCAGGCTTCTGGACCTTTATAAAAACCCCTTGGGGTTTTGCCCAGAAGTCTGTGGCTTATTCCCACTCCTACATCAGTCATCATGTGGCTGTACTGATGTAGCTCCGTAACCATGTCTGTTATAGAACTTGGGCCGTCTTGCTTAGTGTTAGCATCTTCTTCAGTTTATGGATTTGTCATGGTTGTGATTATTGTCACTGTCACTTTTTCATAATGTAACAGATTCAGAATATGAATCTTGGACCACAACACTATTCTGGTTGCTGCTGGAGAGACACCAAATAGATGTCAGTGCTCCACAGAACCTGCTGTCTCATGACACAGGTTAAGCTAGCATGAGTCCACCTAACTTCAGAAAACTCAGTTTTGCTCTTCTCTTCCCAGATTAGGGAATCTGGTTTTATTATTTATCATTTTGTTATCAGTTTCCCCAGATCTGTTTCAAGATACAACCAGCACATAGGAGCAGGGGCATTGACAGCTAGGGACTCCCTAGAGGCAAGATTGACCACTTTTTCTCAGCAGTAACTTAGATTAATGATGGCTGTCAGTGTGGACAGGATGCCACAGGAAGGAATAAAAGGACAGAGGGACATCATCAATCAGTCTGATAAAAAGTGGACTCAAGTGTATCAGTTACCTGACCAAGCTTGTTGGAACCATCACACCAAAAGAGAGTTTGAATGGAAGATGTTGAAAGAACATAATGCACTCACACAGACTGAGAAGCAAGAAGTGAGAAAGCACAAGCAGGCGCTTGTTCAAAATGTCATAAACAGGCTGCAAAATTCATAAGTAAATTGCCGCAGAAAATATATGGACTCAGTCAGAGATCAATATGGTCAGACAAAAGCCGTTTATTACAAAGCCTTAACCCCTTAAGTACTATTTCTTACATGCACTAACAGTGATTTGGCATATTATGATTGGATACATGTCTTGAAGACCCTTTGCAACTAGCACATAATTGGTTAAGCACAGGTGTGGGAACTTGACCTCGAAAGCTTGCCAACAGTCCAGAGTTCTCATTACCTCAGTGAATTCCAGCTTCTTCTTATCTTGCTTGCTTAAGCTTCCTTGGGCCTCTCACGGCCTTGCTGTGTCTTTCAGGATTATTCAGAGTTTATGTACCAATTATCCATTCTCCCGTGAGAACACTGTCTCCACAGTAAATTAAAACTAGTCCAAAAGTTTGAAAGGCCAGAGAAATGCATTGCAGAGATTCTCTTAGGAGATGCCAAGCATGTAGATGACTGCTTTGGGAAAGGAAAGGAAGGCCTAGTAGGAAAGACCTTGTCTCAGAGAGTTTATGTCAAAAGAATTAGCATAATTTTCTAAGATTGAGAGGGAGAGGCAAAGGTATGTATCTGTGCTTGTAAAATTAGTCAAATATCCTCTCCTGGGATTCTATTAGGTAAATTCACTTCCCTCTTGGAGAGGAAAATTTCTGAAATATATATACAATGTCTGTGACACTTAAAACTAGGTGAAACTCAGCCATCACAAGTTCAGTAAATTACTTAAAGTACTGTATTTTTCTGTTGCTCTTTGCCACAGTAACTTAAACGATAACTTTTTTACAGGTCATTGCTGCTGGAAATAATGGTGCTGGTGAATTCCAGACATCAGTCACACCTAAGCAGCATCTGTTTGATGGACAGTGGCATACTATTGCAGGTACATTGTACATACCTGAAACTTTGGAAGGACAGTGGGCACAGAGCACTAGATTTTTATTAATCATTTCACTTCTGTGTATTCTGAGAATACTCTTTAGAACAATGTAAGTGTCTTGTGTTAATTCAACGCTTTACATAAGGCGGGGGTTTTGGGCTATATTTAGCCCAAGTCTAGCTAGATGTGTCAATCTGACTTTGAATTAAAATAAAATACATTTTCCCTGCGAGTTAAATTTCAACACAGATGTTATTTAAAAATAGTGCCATATATAGCTGATCCTTCACTAGGGTTGAGAAAGAGCACTCATTTACCTGCTTCTTTGCAGTCTCTCAGGAGGAGAACACAGTGCAGCTAGAGGTGGGCACACAAAGTAACTATACTACTGGACTTCCACCCTCTCCTCCTAGACGTGTGCATCAGCCACTCTACTTTGGCAAAATTCCAGGTAATATTATTGCTTCTTATTTTTTATATACCTACTGTTTTTTTTTTTTCATTTCCAAAACAAGGCTCCTGTTCATGTGTGTAGTCCTATATCATTCCCCCTCTTTTGAAAGACTTGCAATAATCTATGTTCTTTAAAATCATTCTCATTTTATTAAACTGCTCTTTCTACCTTGTTTTTTGTAGCATATTTGGACGCACCGTGGCTTCCAGTTAAAGACCCATTTTTTGGCTGCCTTCGGAATATTAACATCAATGACAAACATGTCTCCATCAGGAGAATTTCAGAGGTTCATGGTGCAGTGAGTTTGCATGGCTGCCCAGTAAAGTAATTTGCTGTTATAATAGTTGTACACACCTCAGGCTAGGTCTGCTGAAGTACTGCAAGAATTCATGCACCGTGGGTTCCCCTTTTGTTGATCACCATGTCACTGCCACCAGGCTAGTTATTCAGAACAGTTGGTTAGCAAATGCACCCTCTGGATGTGGACTGTGCTAAAGCAAATTAAAAGAATTTGCTTCGATAAACTCCCTTTTCAATGTTATCAATTTCCATTATGCCTTTTGCAATATATGCAGAAAATATAATTGTATATACCCTACTGGGCCAAATTCTGCTCTCACCCACAACAGCATCAACTTGAATAACTCCAGTGTATTAATTTTGGTAATTTGCCTTAATGCTGGTCATCTTGAGAGCAAATTTGATCCACTAATATAAAGAATTTTATAAAAATATAAATGTCTTTGGATTGATGTTTATACAGAAATGTACATTAATGTTCAAATAATAATAATATAAATGGAGTTTGAAGCACTTTAAGGAGTGAAACTCTGGGAGTTTGTTACAATGCTAGGAATTCTGGGGCCAAATAAATGCTGTATGTTCTCAAAACCATACATTTTCTTGTTTGGTTATTTTAACCTGCTATTTCTTTTATGTGTTTTTCACAGGCTGCTAAATCCTGCTTGTTTTATGCAAGCACTTCTGTAGCTTTAAGAAGCTGAACTGCCTGAGTAAGCAAGAGTCCATCATTTCTGCTTGTTAGAATGTGGTTATATAAGAAACTCAGAGAATAATTTTTCTTGTAATCTTCAGAGCCAGAAAGTCTCCTCCATAAGCTTTTTTTCTTGATTAAATGAAGACAAGTTACATTAGGAACAGCAGTTGTACCTGCTACAGTTTTGCAGCATGAATTGCAGGACTACACCAGCAAAACTCTTTCCTTTGACATTCAAATCTTCACTTTGTACCTGATACTGACACATGGTGGAGGACAGAGGGGTCCAGTTTGCTTATTCTGAATACAGGGCTGGACTGAACACACTTGACATGGCTTGTTCCCACTTTCAACTGCCTTCTTGCTTAAAGTGCAGCAGCATGTCCTCAGTGTGTTTGGAGTTAAGGTGCTAGCTGGATCAGTAGAAGAAGATGCCAGATCAATAGTCCTTATGGCTTTGGTCATTGATCTCTATCAAATTTTTGCAGCTTTGCAGATCCTTTGCAGCTTTGCAGGGTGACAAAAGTGCCAGAAAGCCGATCACACCAAATCTTGTGTTCCTTTATCTTTTGTGGCAACTCCATTACAGGCAAATCTATGTCCATGCAGAGGCTTCTC